ATGGAGGAATAGAAGCCTTGGAATTGGAAAGATATGTTCTAATGAAGAAAGTGACCGATTTAGAGTACTCAGTTGTGCTTGATGCTAAATTTCGAAAGAAGATGTGGATTTTCATGTGTGTGATATTGGGATGTTTTGTTATGTTCTTTGGATCCGTGGGAAATGATATGTAATGTTAGTGTTATTGTGGCTTAATTGTTGTCTTTTATTATGTAATGAACCATTATGTTTTTTTTACAAGGATTTAATGAAGTCATTGCCGTTCATTTGTTGTGTCTATGACTGAGTTTATTTGCTATGATAATTAGTTTGGTGTTGTCAAATAGGTGTCTAAGTAAACTAATATGGAGTTGTGAAGTGTTTGAAAAATGACTATTATAACTGACTCATATATGCCCCTGTACAATTCGAACTAGGTCTAACTTGCCCTCACATATATTCCACATGGTTTTATGAGTCTCCCGTTAGTGATGGAGGGCATATACGAGCCCATTTGTTGACGGCAATAGTAGAATAGAGACCAACTTTTAACGGAGGGATAGCCTATCCTATTTTATATAGTAAAGGGGCATTTTAGACCATTTTCCGTATTTTAAACGACACAGATGGGGAATTACTACAGTCACTACTCCTTTGAGACAAAGCATTAGTGCAAACTTCATAATATAATGCAGTGAATGCGAATGATCTTAGGCATAATCTAAAAAATATTCCCCTAAAATAAGCATCTTTCAAGTATAGATTAAAAAATAAGCATCTTTCAAGTAGAGATTAAAACAAAAGGAAATCTGTGTGATTCAGCATTTACTAAGTGGGACGATCACATTACTTTGGCTCCACGTTCAACAAATGAAGTGATAATCATATGCTACCTCCGTTGATATGCTACCTTTGTTACTTTTACTTGTCCAGTATTCTAAAAATAAATTTACTTTTACTTGTCATTTTTAGCATATCAAGAGAAGACAATTTCCTTTTTCCTATTATACTCACGGCATTACAATTTCCTTTTTCCTATTATACTCACGGCATTAATTACTCATTTCAAATTATTTTCTCAAAACCATTAAAAATATATATTAATTAATATGGTTATCATAATAAATAATGCAGTTTATTTAATATTTTTTAAGGGGCATAAAAAGTCAAAACAGGCAAGTAAAATGAAGGGGGGGGGGGGGGGGAGTAGCTGATATCGCAATTATTGAGCATGTTCGGGCTTCAGTATTTGACTAGACTGCACAAAATTCATAGCAGGATTGTTGCCTAAATAGCCGGCTAGAATTAATGTTTAATTTTTCTAGCCAGTATACATTGATTATATATAGTTATCATATACTATTTATTATACATAAATTATACATATATTATACATTTGCCAGCTATTTATAGTTTAAGAGATTAGGTAGGCGACCATTTGGGTTAAATCTTCCTAGCAAAACTAGTTATTTCAAATTTGATTATCCTTCACCAAGAGCCTGACCCGAAAAGATGACTTATCGAGCAATTAGAAGCGGGCAAATTATAAATTGTTTGAAGTTTTTTCAAATGTTCATATCCTGTCTCTCTCAGTTGTTTGTTGTAGACTTCAGAAAAGAGAAGAGACATTCCCAGTGTAATGTTGACAAGCCAATCGGGCGAAGCTCTCTTTTTTTCTTGGTCGTGCCATAAAATGAAAGATTAGTTACCCATTTTCCTCTTTGGAGACAATTCACACTAAAAGATCTTGCAACCTGACTAGACGAAAGAACTTCTGTCAACTCATTTTCTGGAGGAAAAAAAGAAAGAAAGAAACACTTCTACTTTCTGGTTTCTAAACAGCAATATTAGAAAGTCAAATTAGAAACTTTCCTGTCAAATTTTCAGGTGGATGAATATCTTTCCACAGATGAAAGAAAAAAAGACAATTCGATTGAATATTTATTTTTATATTCTTTTCTATTACTGTAGAAAACAAAGATCAGTGTCTCAGTGGAGATGGAATTACAGTGAGTTTCAAGCTATGTGGCATTTCGTCACGCCCTGATCCAACAAGCAATGAAAGTCCAAGGATTTTAAGAATGAATTTGCACAAAAAAATTCAAAAGAGTATGTTATATTGGGAAGGAAAACCAATAATAGCACACATTCAACCTACAACAGCTCAAAATTCCATCAGTCATTAACAGAAGGTGAAACAAATGGCAGGTATTGGCAGAGCCACATAACAAACTATACTAGTAAAAAGATTGGGGAAAATGAAAAGAAAAATAGAAGAGCTGATCCTAACAAAAATTGATTCAGAAGATACTTGCACTTGACCTGGAAGTAGTTAAGATCTTGGCTTCTCCTTTTTCTCTTTGAAGAGAGCCAAAAGTGAGACACCAGACACCTTCACAACCTTGAACCTAACACCAGGAATATCTCCCACAGCATGTCCCTTACGACCAAATCCAGCAATCAACACCTCGTCCTATCAACAATAAGATGAGATTTATTCAACATTAGAGAAGACATAAGAAAATTAAAAGGACAAAATTGCAACGATGGACACATAATGATATGATTGAAACACGTACATTCTCTTCAATGTAGTTCAAACAACCATCATTGGGAACAAAAGCAGCTATCTTCTTCCCATTCTTAATCAGCTGAACTCGAGCACACTTTCTAATGGCAGAGTTGGGCTGTTTAGCTTCAATACCGCTGCAATTCGTTTCAGTGAAAGTTAGGTCTGTCAAAACAAGTACATAAATTTTTGTCTAAATTATTAATAAATGGCTAGCAAACTTGGCCATACATTTTCTCCAGGACAATCCCCTTTGCATGAGATGACCCTGCAAATGGCTTCTTCCATTCATTGCCAAGATGAGATTTCTTATAAGATTTATCAGCCCACCGCTGCCTCCTGCGGTGGGACTTCAGTTTACGACCAGCTCCCATTCCACGTGTCTTCCTGTATTAGAATGATTACAACACAAGCTTCTAAATTACCAAAAAAGGAAAATTTCCAATATTTGGCCAACCAATGGAGAGAAAGCACATTTATATACAGAGAGCAAAATAGACAAGTTGACCAGTAGATCACAAGGGATTAAATAGCTAAACCACTCAGCACCCAGCATCTGAACAACTCTAAACCAGAGAAAATGGTGTGCAAATCTTATACTCTTAAAACCAGTAATATACATGAGAGATTTTGCAAACTATGTACGCAACACTTATGACCACTTAGAAAACAAATTCAACAATACATGTAACCCAAAATAACTTGGGAAACATTGAATGACATCAATCACAACAGGACGTTTGAAAAGATATTTCAAAATGAGGAGCCATGTGCAAAGACGGAACTAAAGCATGGGGGAAATGGATTTTACTAGACAATTCCACCTCAAAAACTAAAATGGCCTTGCAAACCCAACTCCGTTCAAGCTAGAAATGCAAGCATCATCTGAAATCATCTCTAATGTTTCTACTAATACCAGCTTCAGCTCAGCCATTACAAAGATTTCATAGTAGGTCAATACTAATACTGTTACAACTAGGATACTAGTATTTAGTAGCTTATTTTTCTGTTTCACCTTCCTAAAAAGGGTGCCTAGAAAGTGAAAAGTAATAGGATAGATGTTTCATCTCCACTGATCTGCAACTCCATGGAGCTACAGGAGCTCAGAACAGTTTGGAGAGAGTGAAAGTTGTTGCAAGTCCATTAGCATTCAAAGCAATTCACTGCCATGTAAAGGGCTCATCTGCTTTGCCAAGATGGACTAAAGAATCAATCACTCTTATATATCCTTAAAATGGAAACTTGTCAATCAACATACCAAAAGAAACATTGTGATCATCTTAAATCCACTAGTCTCTCCAGCACAATAGAAATACTATTTCACAAGTATCACCTTAAACAAAAGGAAAGTTTCTTAAATGAGGCTTGCCAAATATGGCGGAACGGTACTAAACAAAAAACAGCATTGAACCAGAAAACATATGTAGACAGTTGCTCTAGATCCTAACTACTGATTCCAAACACCTTCTGAGTCCTACCTTTACTTTTTATCTTTTTGGTTTAGGTAGATGTTTCATCTCCACTGAGCTGTAACCCCATTAAGCTTGAAGAGCCCAGCACAGTTTAGAGAGACATTTGATCTAAGTCCATTAGCATTTAAAGCAATTCATTGCCCTCGAAAGGGCTCAACTACTTTGCCAAGATGGACTGCAAAATTGGCGTTCATATAGAACCGCCAAGTAACAAGTTAACTTTGCTCAAGGACCATAATGACAATGTGCATTCAACACCATAATGACTATACGGAATAGTTATTTTTCTTTCTTTTCCTGGAGGGGGAGGGGGGGGAGTCATTAGCAAGATGTTTCATCTCTACTGATCTATAACCCCACTAAGATTGAGGAGCCAAGAACAGTTTAGAGTGACATTTGATCTAAGTCCATTAGCATTCAAAACAATTCATTGCCTTCAATAGGTCTCAACTGCTTTGCCAAGATGGACTGCAGAATTACGCATCCCCACAAAACTGACAGCTAAAAAAGTTGAGAATTTGTCCCCATATATCTAACTTTCCTCAACAAAGCAGAACCAGCTAAAATTACAAAATGACATTACCAAACTAGCCATTTTTGCACGTGCTTGTTTTTATTATTTTCAGTGTAGCTCCTTAGCACCAATATAGCCAGAACTGATCTCATTATGCATTGTTTCAATACACATAACTTTTCATATGGCATTTCTATAGACTCTATTAGCATCTTCAACACAATAAAGCATTGACATAATTATATGAATAGTTTACAAGAGTCACTCTCCAGAAGAAACAAATAAAATGAAGAGAGAAGCAAAAAGAGAAGAGGAACATAGATTACCCCATGGTGATAGAGCGAAGTTGCCTTGCTGCTGCAACTGGGGAGGATTGAGGGTGGGGCTGAGTAGCTGCGAAGCTGAGACTACTGAAGTGAGCGAAACCCTAAATCTCCAACGGAGTTTTAAAGCGGCTCTTGGGTTTCCTTTGCTATTGTTTTGGGGCCCCCATGGGAAATTTCTTTCATTTGGATCGTGTTGATTGTGTGCTTTAGCCCAAACTCATTAGTGTGATTGACGGGAATGGCCCCGTAAGGGTTTAGCCTTTAAATATTGTCCTTATTTTAAAAAATATATATATTTTTTAAAAAGGTCTCACACACTTATTGCTTGTTAGAGATTTTTCTATTGGATTGGTAGATTTATACCATATTTACTTTACTTATTGTATAGGGTAAAGTATGCTATGCTATGTGATTGCATAAGAGAGTGACACGTGGAGCCGAAGATAGAGGATAGTTAAAACCGAAGACAACTGTTCCATTTGTCACCGGAAAGAATGACGCTCATAAAGACGCAATAAATACCTGTCACCCGGTAGCATTTAAGGCAGAATATTCCACAACATTTAGTACACTGCCCGTTACAAAGAATTTGTCATTTATGCTCATTGTCATGTACTCTTCAATGGCCTCATAATTGACATTAAAGAAGGGCATGATCCTAGGACTTTGTTCCCTATGTGTATCTATAAATAGTGAGCTATGTTATCATTGTAGAGAACACGAATTTTCTGGCAAATTTACTCTATAATCCATTCAAAGCTCTGTACAATTTTATCCTCTTACTTTTCAATTTCATTGTTGTTTTGCCCGGAAGCCTTGCTCCCGAATTTACTGTTTCTGTCATTTCATCTTCATCTCAAGGCTAAGTATTGTGTATTTCTTCAATTTTTTTATTATTTTAGGATCAAATTAATTCACTTGTCTAGAAATTATGCATAAATTCAACTGTACTATTTTACGGGTAAATAGTTTGGCACCCACCGTAGGGCCTAGATAGTCATGTAATTAAGTTGGTCCTTGCCTCTTTTACTAACGTGTTTTGTTTATTTGTCTTAGCAAAAAAATCACAAAAAATGACAGATAATGGTGTTAACAACACACACAATCTTGAGGCCCAAGGCAACCAGCCTCATCACGAGGATTCAGTCAGTGACACGCACAATGAGGGGAACGATGATACGCCTGTCCACTACATGCGGTATCCGCGACATGTTTGGGAGGAGACTCCCGATGATGCTGAAGAGGAGCATGTTATTAAAGTGGTAAGGTTTCTGCAAGAACAACATGTGGTCATTCTAGGCCATTTATCACGGTAGGATAAAGTCATGACAGAGTTGAATCAGGCAATGTTGAGGGATTCCAATAACGCGAATGGACGAGGTCTAGTTCCTCTCGGTGCTCCCACGAATCAAAAAACGCAAAGGGTCAACAACAACACCCCGAGGGGAGCGGATCCAGCCCCATTAACAAAAATGATCCCTTCAAGAGCGAACTTTTATGGTTTTTGAGGGAAGTGAACGCCCGCATGGACCAGATCTCGAGTGCACCACCGGTGCTGAAAGGGACGGACTCAAAGAAGTATACTCAGTTGTCGTACAAATCGAGCGCGACACCAGAACTAATCCCGAAGCGATTTAAAATGACCGACGTGCCGAAGTATGATGGAACTTCAAACCCTCAGGAGCATATTACCATTTATACAATGGCAGTGAAGGGGAACGATTTAGCTTCGCACGAGATTGAATCTGTTTTGCTGAAGAAATTCGGAGAGACTCTAACGAGGGGAGCCTTGACGTGGTATTCGTTGTTACCCGTGCATTCCATAGATTCCTTTGAGATGCTCGCGAACTCTTTTATTAAGGCCCATGCCGGGGACAGAAAGGTGCATGCCCAAAAGGCCGACATAGTCAGAATTGCACAAGGAGAGTCCGAGTTATTGCGGTAATTTGTCACCCGGTTCCAAAATGAGAGGATGTTGCTCCCGGTTGTTCCAAATGAATTGGAGGCTGAAGCATTCACCAAGGGTTTGAACCCGAGAAGCTTTAACGCTTCCGAAAAATTGAAGGAAAGCTTGCTTGAGTTCCAAGCGATGACTTGGACGGATGTCCACAACCGGTACGAGTCTAAGATAAAGATTGAAGATGATCAGTTTGACTTCTTTTAATTTTAACTAACTATTTTTCTAAGTGGGTTGAAGCATTTCCTTACCAGAAGATTGGCGAACGTGAAGTGGTGAATTTCTTGTGGGAGAACATAATTTGCAGATTTGGAATACCGGAAGAGATAGCTTGCGATAACGGGCCATAATTTATAGGCGCAAAGATCACAAAGTTCCTTGAAGATTTGAAAATCAAGAGAATCACATATTCACCATATCATCCGAGCGCAAATGGTCAAGCGGAATGAACGAACAAAGTGATTATACAAAATCTCAAGAAGAGGTTTGAATAAGTTAAAGGTAAATGGCCTGAGGAATTGCCCGGAGTGTTATGGGCGTACCAAACAACGGCTAAATCGAGCATAGGAGAAACTCATTTTCCCCTTGTGTAAGGAGCAAAAGCCTTAATTTCGGTAGAAGTAGAGCCTACCTTGAGATATTTCCAGACAAGTAAAGAGACGAACAACGAAGCGATGTTCGTTAACTTGGAGCTACTCGACGAGCGCATGGACTTGGCACGTATAAGAATGGCAGCCCAGAAGTAGAGAATGGAAAGATATTATAATCGAAGAGCCAACCTCCGTTATTTCAAAGTGGGAGACTTGGTTCTAAGGAAAGTAACTCAAAACACCCGGGAACTCAACGCATGAAAGCTAGGTACAACTTGGGAAGGCCCCTACCGGGTTTCAGCAATCACCGGGAAAGGTTCATACGAGTTGGAGAATTAGGATGGAGAAAAGTTACCAAGTAACTGGAATGTGGCACACCTCAAGAGATATTATTGCTGACGAACATCTCCTGTACTGAAAGTATATGCTGCATTATTTTTCCCTTCGTCCAGTTTTTGTCCCAATTGGGTTTTTTTGGCAAGGTTTTTAATGAGGCAACAACGGAAAGCATACAACGACAAAAGTTTCAACAGCAGCAATAAGACCTTTAATAGCAAGGCACACAAGCGAAGAACCACTCCGGAGCGGTTAGATAATCTTTGGCTTGAGAGCAAAATTCCCACGGGGAAAAGTGAGTTTGCTATCAAGCAAAGGTTACCCGACCATTCACAAGTGCAAACCACTAGAGGATTACCCGAGCTGAAGATTGTTTAACAATTCATTAGTGGAGTCCTCGAAGGTGCAAAACTTCCAGTTTTCCAATTTGTATTCTTCGCATTCGAACACTAGGGGGGATGATATACGACAACAATGACTGCCATGTCCACCAGAACATGAAAACTGGGAACATAGTTGTATCATCGGGACCGAGGACTGTGCGGCCAGCCCCGTAGAAATAAGTTGTACAAGTTAGCCACAAGAAATGACAATTTCTTTTTAACATAATGAATGCTTATGCAATTTTTGAAAAAGGAAGGAATAAAGTAAAGTCCTTTTATTTTCCATCTTGTTTCTTGTCTGATCGATGAATTGATTTTAACATTTGAAAGTTAAACAAGTACTTCAAATGATAGTGCCGTAAATAACAAGAGACATCCTCTTCAATAACACTGTAAACATAAGAGGGCCCTCTCTTATAAAAACCCTCACAATAAAGGGTTGATTTCAGAAGAACTTGTGCCCAAATCCAAATGCTTTCGGGGGAAAAATACACCCAAGGTCTTACATAATAAGACACAAACAGTAAAACTTGCACAGAACACTTAAGCAAAAAAAATGAAAAGATTAAAACTTGTATAAACGTTCAAATGAAAGAAAGACTCATATAATACTTGAGCAAAAGATATCTTTATTCACAATAAATGTGCTGAAGCGGCATAGATACAAAAGTTGGAAAAATAAAGGAAAAGCTAAACTTGTGCATCTCCGGAACCCGGAGGAAGAGAAGTGTTCGCACCCCCAAGGGAAGTGGGTAGATCTGCTGATGGCTCAACATCTTGGCCCTCATCAGTTTGGCCTTCAACATCTTCACCTTCTGGTTCCTCTTCAGTTCCCGAAGTTTTGGAACCGGAACCATCAGGCCTTACTAGGAGACCCCTTTTAGCAGCTGACTCAAGCTCACGGGCCTTAACGATTTCTACATCAAAGTCAATGATACCCGTTTTGGCCTCTTCCAAGGTTTTGCTCCTCATGTTGTACATAACATAAGTTTTTGCAACAATGAGGGAAGTCGTTCAACGCTTAAGTTCTTCTTTGAGTTGGATAACCTCGGCAGGAAATTTTTTCAGGGCGGATCTAATGGATTTAAGGCTAACATCGAGGTCATAAACAGTTGAGCTAAAAATACTATTATGCTCAATAGTCTTCTTATACTTCTCCTCCAATTGGGCATGTTTTATCCCCGCAACAACAAGCTCTTCAGTTTTGGAGTTCAAGGCTGCCTCTAAGTTGGTCAATCTTTCAGCGGAGGCAGCCTCGCAATCAGTCGCAGCAAGAATGACACTATGGACTTTAGCCCATTTGGCCTTGGCCTCATCAAATTGAATCCTCAGTAGGCCAATCTCTTGGCTAAGGGTTTCCACTTCTTGCTCGCTTTGTTGCAAATGATTCTCCAACACAACTACCTCAATAGCTTTGGCTTCCAATTCTAAGAGGTGAGCAGCGGTTTATTCCCGCTCGGCCAAAAGTTGATCATGTGCGAAGGTAAGCTCTTCTTTTCTCGAATCAACCTCTAGAGGCCCTCAAAAGCAAGGAAATTGGACTACAAAACAAGAAAGGAAAACTTAGGATATTTTTAGTCAAAAATGGAAGAAATAACAAAAGAAGTGAAGAACGTACCTATGCGGCGATGTGCATGGCATTGTTCAACAAGTACTCCCCCGAGAGAGCCTGTATATTTTCCTAATCTTTTTCTAAAGCCAAAGGCTTCAGATAGTTAGTAAGTTCCACATGCCGGGATAGCAAATTGCATCCGGTGGAGACCGAGAGTGTAACAGTCCTCATCCTTTGCGGATCTTCTGAGGGGGAGCACATTTTTGCCCCAAATTCCCATGAACCGGGGATTGGGTGAGAAGAACG